CTAAAAAATCAGCCAAGAATTTTGAGCTTCTCAGGGAGAAAAAAAGCACTGTAAAACAATAAAGTATAGTTATTGCTTCCAAGTAAGAAGTACGACGTTTTATCTCAGCAGCGTGGCACATATTGTGTGCTCAGTAATGCCTGCAGAATAAGGGAAGAGAAAGCACACAAACTTGTTTTGCAAAAGAATACCTTACACTGGAATTTTCTTTTCTTTTTTTTTAAATTTGCTCAAGAATCCAGAAATGTAATAGGCATATTGACTGATGAGCTAAGAGGAAAAATTTGCGGTGTCTGTCTTTGCAATCATTTCATCAGCTAGAACTGTTCTCCCAGCTAGATTTTGTTTTTGTTGATAACTCTGTTTGCTTCCTTGTGGGGCGTTACTTTTTGTCACTAGGAACCAGTCAGACGTAGGGTCAATCCAGACAACCAATCTCAGGTGAGATTTGACTTTAGGAAAATCTGATTTTCATATCTGATTCAGGGATGGCAAACTGGTAATAGGAAACTTCTTCCCTCAGGGCCTGTTAACCTGGCCTACCTAGGTATGGTGACCTGGTGAACTTGTTTGCTTACATGTGGGCGAACCAATTGCTTTCATGTGGTGTTCAGCCCTGAGTAAATTATCGCCTCCTAGTCATAGTTGAAACTATACACAATAGAGACAGTTTGAAATCAACTCTTGTTTTTCTACATTGTTCAAAAAGAGCTTTTCAAAAAATAAATACATGAAAGCATGATCATCCTTCCAGGAAGTAAAATTACCAGCCTTTTTAAATTTTTAATTGTACTTAATACGCTTGAGTGCCAGATAGAGTTTAAGGTCCGAAGTTCTTACATAAGAGTTTCAGAAGTAAGAGGAAACCCGATTCAGAACAAAATCATAGGAAAAGGTTGCTAAATAGTGACCACGTCAATATTTTAAAACTCGAGAACAAAACTAACTCCACCACGAGCACTCCCAACAAAACCGGCTTCCAACGTGGGGTTTTTCTTTGATCTCCAGGGCTGGGATGCAGTCCTAGTTTGCTTAGTGAATACTTTTGGAAGCATTCTTTTCTTTCCAAGCTTTTTTTCCCTTGAAATAGAGAAACAGCCCAAACTCAAGAGTAATTCCTACATATTTACTTTGCTTCAACCTGTTTATGCGCAGGCCTGTTTTGGAGGTTAATTGGTCATGGACTACACATTGACATTTATTACCTGTCAGTATTGGGAGGCGTTACTGGTTTAGTGTGTTTAATGAATTTATTGGTGCCAACTTTCTAATCTATCATTATTTGTGAAAGCTGAGTTAAGCATCTCTTCTGTGGCTGTGTATAGTCATTCCCCTCTTCCTCCCCATTGGCCCTTGATTGACATCCATAAATTGATTGAGATTAATTTCTCTTAAATTTGAAGGATTTGATCTTTAAGTATGATACAGGGAAAAACGATGGTTACTACAACATGAACGTGCTTGAAACCACTTCAAAGGGTTTAAGCTTTTCTTTTAGATCAAAGGTCTGTTTTTAGGATGCTTTCCTTTTTTCTCTATGTAAGATGTTTTTAGGGTTTTTAAAATAGGAATTTCGGTTAGGTAATGAATATTGACTGTCTGTATTTTGTGATGAGTGTTATCCAAAATGTTGGGGCTCTATTTTTTTTTTTTTTGAGACAGAGTCTCACTCTGTTGCCTGGGCTAGAGTGCCGTGGCTTCAGCCTAGCTCACAGCAACCTCAAACTCCTGAGCTCAAGCGATCCTTCTGCCTCAGCCTCCCTAGTAGCTGGGACTATAGGCATGCGCCACCATGCCCAGATAATTTTTTTTTCTATATAGTTTTAGTTGTCCAATTAATTTCTTTCTATTTTTAGTAGAGACGGGGGTCTCATTCTTGCTCAGGCTGGTTTCGAACTCCTGAGCTCAGACAATCCTCCTGCCTCAGCCTCCCAGAGTGCTAGGATTATAGGCGTGAGCCACCGCGCCCGGCCTGGGGCTCTATTTTTTTTAAAAAAGAGCTTTGCATACAAATGTATCATCTCATTGAGGGGAAAGAAGAAGAATTACATGCAGAAACCTGATGTGATTGGTCGTCTGTGAGTGACAGAGATGGCCCGTTAATGAGTAAGCGGTGGAGTGGCACAGTGTGCACGGAGGTCAGGGGGAGGGGCAGGGAGAGGTGGAAGCGGGAAGGGAGGTTTGGGGGGTGTGGCACAGGCATTGAACTGGGGGTTCACACTAGGAGGAAAGAGACCACACTAGGAGACTCTGCTCATGATATAGAAAGTGAGGTGGAAGAGATGGGAGAGGAACCCTAGACCATATGTATATAAATTTTCTTTTTCAACCTATCTTGGTTTCAGATGAAACAGAACTTTTGGAAATTTGCGTTTTGCACAGTTTTGCCCTTATTCTAGAAAAAATACTTTTTATAGTACATACAGGTCTATTTTGATGGTTCTTTTCTCAGTCTTTTGGTTTCCATTACCGCTGTTAGAAGAAGTCAGTCATCACTTCTTTGAAAATGATCTGTCTTTTCGTTGAATGTTTTTATAACATCTTATTTAGTTTTTAAATAGGTAATACATTAATATGGTTAAAAAATAAAAGGTATTTATATTTCTAAAAACTCTTCATTCAACTCTTCCTCCATTCACCCCTTCCCCTCACACCTAGCAATTGTTCGCAGTTTCTTTATGCATATGACAACAAATACAGATGTACGTTCTTATGCCATAATCCCTCCTTTTTGCACAAAGCATAGTATTTTACATATGGTCCTAGACTCTGCATTTTTTACCTAATAATATACGTGGAAATACTGTACTTAGCAGCACACAGAGAGCTTCCTCCTTCTTTTTACAGCTGATTAGCATTCAGTTGCATGGATATACCCCTGGTTTATTTAACCAGTCCCTTACAATAGACACTTAGGTTATTTTCAGGTTTTTTTTTTGTTATTACAAATAATCCTGCAGTGAATAACTTTATACATAGATCATTTTGCATGTGTGCAATTTATCTGCAGGATAAATTTTCCCCAGTGGAACTGCTAGGTGCATAGGGATTTGTATTTTACATTTTTGATAGATACCTGATTGCCTTCCACAGGGTTTCTACAATTTATGCTCCAACCAGCAGTGTCTCTGAGTACCTTGTTTCCCTCAGTCTTTTAACTCCTGCTTTGTGGCTGCTTTAAATTTTTCTTGTGTTTGGTGTTCTGCAATTTCATCCTGAGTGTCTAGTTGTATGTTTTTAAAAAAATTTATTCTGTTTGGGACACCCTGGAATTCCTCAATCTGTGGACTGATGTTTTTATCAGTCAACAGGACACAGACGGTCCACTTGAAATGAATAATTGAGGGAAGTTGAATAAATGGATGATTTACAAAAATGTAAGTAGGGTTTAGGGAAGGCAACAGGGGATGGCTCAGGATAGCGATGGGGCAGAGGGAGGGAACCATTGCTGGAACTTGGGGGCAGGACCTGGGTGATGGGGACATCTGACGGGGCTGTGCTCTTAGCAGAAGGACAGACCACCCTGCAGGACCTGGGAGAGGGGAGCGGGACTCAACGGCGAGCAGGTGGCCGGGGTGCTCACTGGATGTTCCTGCTTCCCAAGGCAGGGCAGGAAGGCTCCCGAAGAAAGGAGGATGGATCTCGAGGGGTGGGGCCCTCAGACTGAAAATGTCCCATATAGCATCTGTCATCGATTCTGAACAACCCTCGGCCATCGCCTGCTGAGACATAACTGCTGCCTCTCCAGCTCCCCTGCCCTGGGCAGCTCCGTTAAACATACAGCTTTGCACCCGGCGCTGTTTCAGCTTCTTGTAGCTTCTCACATCCCTCTGTGCTGCAGTCCAGACAATGCATGGATCTCTTCACACCTCCCTTCCTTCCTTCCTCCTCTCTCCAGCTATACTGAATCTTCTGTTTACCCCACCCATTGAGTTTTTAAATGGTTACTACATTTTTCTCTTTAAAAAGTTCTGTTTGGTTCTTTTTCAAATTACCTTGGTTATTTTTATGAGGATAGCGTTTCCTTCTGCCCGACCCTGGAAGAGGTAGTGGTCACAGGTGTCCGTATTTCATCCAGCAGTGACACAACTTGCAGCAGGCTGTGTGGCCGCCGGGCTGTGTAGCCCCCAGCCTGCCAGAGAAGGGTTTTCTCTCTGGGGTTTTTACCTCCTCTTTTCCCCAGTGTCTCTCCCCTTAGCGCTCTCTCTCTGTCTCTCTCTTTCTCTCTCGGCCATGTGATACTTCCGCCAGGCTGTGGTGCAGCAGGAAGGCCCTCACCAGATGTGGCCCCTCGATCGTGGACTTCCCAGACTCCAGGATCTTGAGCCAAATAGATTTCTGTTCATCATAACTCACCCAGTCTCAGGTGTTCTGTTACAGCAGCACAAGACAGAACATGAGGACCGTGGCCCTGGCAGTGATGCAGGCAGGCGCTGGGCAGCCCTGAGCTAGGGAGAGGGGAGGAAAGGAAGTGGACGCAACGGACGTAGCAAAGGAAGAACCTGCAGGGCTTGTGAGCTGCAGGGACGGGAGAAGCCAGAGGGGTCCCCACAGCTCGTTTGTGCGACGAGGGGCTTGCAGGGGTGGGTTTGACCAGCTGATGGAGCTTTGGAGTCTGAGTGTGGAAGAGTGTGGAAATATAGACCCTCGGTGCCCAAGAAGGGGCCAAAACATTATTCTGTCAAATTTCCAGCACCAAAGTCATTTTTAATACATTCATTCTTTCCTTAAAAATTAATTCAGCCTGGACAACAGTGCAAGACCCCTTTTCTAAAGAAAAAAATTAAATTATTTGTATGTCTTGTGGCTTCAGAGTGGGTAACACCATACAGGAGAAACGGAAGCCAGCATCCCCAAACACACTGACTCAGGGTTTCCTGGTGATTGAGCCTGTGAATCGAGATGACTCTCGCTTGTGCAGAACCTTTTCTTTCTGAGGGATGAGGCACTTTGCTTACTAGGCTCGCTAACCAGTGTCGCTTTCTGTTTGATTTCTCCAGACGTGACCCACTCCCTCAGGATGGGATACTGACTCCTTCTGCACGTCCTGCGATCACGCCGGGAACGGGTTTCTGTGGGGATGCCTGTGACCCGCCAGAAGTCAGACTCCTCGGGGATGGACTCCGACACGTCCCCCGGCTGCAGGCTCAGGGATGTGAGCAGAGGTGGGAGTTTGGAGAGTGGAAGCAGCAGTTCTCGGTCCAGAAGTTTCACATTGGTGAGTAGCGCCTGTCTTTGGAGCTTCTGTGTGCTCTGGTCAGTTGACTCTGCTCCTTCTCCCCATTAGGGAATAGCTTACAAAATCCTTTTGGGTCAACTAGCTGGATGTTTTGGAATACTTCTCTGTGAAATGGCATTTCATTTTTTTTTTTTTTTTTGAGACAGAGTCTCACTCTCTTGCCTGGGCTAGAGTGCCATGGCATCAACCTAGCTCACAGCAACCTCAAACTCCTGGGCTCAAGCAATCCTTCTGCCTCAGCCTCCCGAGTAGCTGGGACTATAGGCATGCGCCACCATGCCCGGCTAATTTTTTCTATATATATTTTTAGTTGTCCAGCTAATTTCTTTCTATTTTTTTAGTAGAGACAGGGTCTCGGTCTTGCTCAGGCTGGTGTTGAACTCCTGAGTTCAAACGATCCATCCGCTTGGCCTCCCAGAGTGCTAGGATTACAGGCATGAGCCACCGTGCCCGGCCAGCATTTCATTTTTAATCATCTTAAATTGTGCACAAACCCAGAGCATCGCCCACAGCAGTGGAGCAGATCTCTAGCTGTGGCCGATAACTTAGGGCTGCCCAGACCTCTGAAGGCGGAAACAAACCCAGTTCAGTGACTGGAGGAAGAGAAGCATCTCACAGGATGGAAACAATTTACTTTTAAACACATTTTTTTACTGCTTTACAAACAGAAATGGGCTTCTATTTTCTTTTGTGTCCGTTTTTCTCAGAATTCAGACTCTGACATAGCTTTGGGAATTTCACAAGAGTCTTTGGCTAACTTAGCCCCCAAAGAACTAAGTAGATAGAAAATGAGGATAAACAAAACAGCAGCTTTCTTGGGGAAACAATGAGTTGGAGAAAACATGTTTGTCCCCATTGATTTGGAAGGTAGAAGGCTTACAGCAAAAAAAAAAAAAAAAAAAAGAGAGAGAGAGAAAATCCCATCCTATAAATAGTGTTTTTAAGGTACCAGTTTGGATTATGGAGAAAATAGAAGCCCTTTAAGGCTACAAATATCCAGATGCTAAAAGAATGATCTAGAAAACCATACCTCACCCTTTCTGTACCACCATGCTGACTTCAAGAAATGTCAACAAATCTGAGGGAAACATTGCTTTGCTTCAAGAATGAGAGAAATGTATATTTCTACCTAATGTTGTGATTTTGAAGAAATAATTTCTAATGCATTCAAACCAGAAAATCCAAAATGCCACATATACTAAGGACATTCAAATGCACACCGAACAAGCCCCGGCCTAGCTGAAGTCTACTCGCTCCTGCGCAAAGACAACAGAAGAAAGGGTCTTTCCAGCCCCATTCAGGCTCTGAGAAGAACATCCAGATAAAAAGTTGGATGACAAACTTTTAAAACACATGCCAACAATAGTAACACAAGTCAACAATCCTAGATTTATCTGTGTTAGTACAGATTTGGGATAGGAGTTCTGTTTTTAGGGAAATAGAGAAGAAAACATTTGGTTGAACAAAAAAGTTGAGAAGGCTTAAAATGCTCGGACTAAAATAACCCCTACCTAAAAAAACGACTGAATCTTGCTTCAATAATTAAGTTCTTAGGCTTTTTCCTTTTCTGTTTTGCTTTTTCTTTTAAACAAAGAAATTTTAGTTTAACTGCAGACTATAGACAATTGTGGCAACTCCTTGCGAGGGATTAAAAAAAAAAATCAGCAGAACTCATCTCTATTCTAGATCATAAAAACCATTAAAAAGAATTATGGTGGCTAAGACAATTTCTCGAGATGAGCCAAGCATCTCTTAATCACCAGTCTCCTAGGTAGGCAGCCCAGGGCATTTGTTTTGGCAGAGTGTGATTTGATGTTCACATCTTCTTATGGACACCAAAATTATCTCCCTGACACCGGAGCAACACTTTATTGATTTCATAATCTAAGGTGATGAGAGACCATCCCCCGCAAGCTAAAACAGGACAGGGGCAGAGAGAAGAAAATAAGCCCCTTCTTGCATAGTTTTAGTGTGTGCACTGCCAAAGCAGGCGCCCTTCTTGCCCAGCCTTAAATATCGTTAAATATCGTGTCCCCGTCAGCAACCTCGTAAGAGAGACCATAAGTGCGCGTGGCGCTGCCCCAGTTTCAGGATAAGGGTTTAATTATGGTTATTTCTAACTAGACACTATTGTAATTTTTCACCAGGGCTAACTTAAACCTGTACTTGGGGCAGGAAGGAGACACAAACAGACCAGGGAGGGATGAGCTATGTGTACAGTTCTGACTACAGAACTAAAGAAAAACGGCTTCCAAGGCTTGCAGTGAGGGTCCTGCTGCCTTAAACTGGCGACATGGATCCGGACCCCTCATCCGTCTCTCTTACAAAGGGACCTCTACTAAGATGGAAACACCTCGGGCGTGTGGTGCTACAGGTGTTCCGAGACCCTCCTGAGCTGTAGCACGTTGGCCTAGCTCTTCAAGGGCAGTATTGCCACTGTGTTGTGAGTTCCTAAAAGGAGTAAAACAAGTTCTGTTCCATCATCTCATCAACTCTTGTATGTAGCAAGCATTTACAGAATGTTTACTATTTAGCTATGTCCTAAAATAGCTGTCTGACCGGGCCAGTTTTGATAGGATCTGGGTGAGAAGTCAGAGGAAGGCAGGACTGGGTTACTTACTGACCAGTCGGCTTCTCCCTCCTCCCTCCTCTGGTTCCACTTCCTCTCCTCGCGATCACAGAGCAGATGGCCATCAGAGTCCTAGTGTCCTCCGAGCCTGTGGTCCGCCCCAGCTATGGGGAAAGCACCCCCATGCTGGCTCTACCGTCTATTCCCTGAGTGATAGGTGAGGCCAGAGACGTCGAATGCTTTAGAGAAGGAAGGGGGTGACTCAGGAGCTGGCACCTGACACATCATGTGACTGTGGGGCCACAGCATTTGTCAGCTTCGGGAGAAGGGGGGGTTTCAAGATAGCTCATTGGACAGTGTCTTTGCCCAAGTCAGAAGTAAAAATGAACAGGGAGTATGCCTGGGATGTCCCCAACCCACTCGCCAAGAAACAGACCCAGTATTAGAGTGAAACTTCAGGACGGTGTGTGTGAAGAGCTTCCCACTCTTCTCAACCAGCCAAACCGTTCCATTTTCTTTTTTTTTTTCGAGACAGAGTCTCACTCTGTTGCCCTGAGTAGAGTGCCGTGGCATCAGCCTAGCTCACAGCAACCTCAAACTCCTGAGCTCAAGCGATCCTCCCACCTTGGCCTCCCAGAGTGCTGGGATGACAGGTGAGCCACTGCGCCCGGCCCACCATTCCATTTTCTAGAAGAAGCTCTAGTATGTCTGAAGGGCAGAGCAGACTTCAGGAACACACTTAGAATAAAAACCTATGAATACCAGCACCAGGCAGCACTCCGTCCTGGCAGCGCACCCAGGGGTTTTGTGAAAGGGTGTGAGCACAGGAGACACCAGCCTTAAGGGTTAAGAATGTAGGTAACCTGACACCCAAAGCCTCCTTTAGTAGCCTAAAGAACTATCACTTATGAATGTCTCTTAAGCCTCTTGAACCTTTTATTTTCAGTCTACATCACTTCACAGGGTAGTTACCAACTTGGCAAAGAAGTGCTGCCCTGTTAAGGTATTAACAAGCATATAGTGTTAGGTTATTAAGTATGAAATGTCCTATTTCCATAAGTACTAAGTGTGACAGTTGATATCTCTGACATTTCACTTTGACACTTCTTGTTTTATTTTTATTGTGAAGGTACATCCTCAGTTCTTCAAACACATAGTTTGGCTTGTGATTATCTTTCAAATTTTTTTTTTAGAGCAATTTTTGTGAAACCGTGAATAAGTCAAAAATTTGTGTTGTTTTCAAATATGAGTTCCATCGTGGAACTAATGCAGCACAGACAGTTCGAAATATCAGTGAAATGTTTGGGAAGGATGTGGTTAATGAACGCACAGTATGTTGATGGTTTGAAAAGTTCCATTCCGGTGAGTTTAATCTTGAAAATGAGCCACGTGGGCGACCTGAGACCAAGGTGGATAATGATGAGCTGAAAGCTGTAGTGGAAGCAAATCCATCTCAACCTAGGTGTGAATTAGCAACACGGTTTGACGTTACTATTCCAACAACACTGGACCATTTGAAACAAATCGACAAGGAAAGAAGCTGGATAGATGGGTTCCGTATGAATTAAACCACCGTCAGAAGAGAAATCGTCTTGAAGTTTGCCTTTCTTTGCTGTCACAACATAAAGGCCAACATTTCTACACCGTATTGTTACATGTGATGACAAATAGATTCTTTTTGACAATCACAAGCGTTCGGCACAATGGTTGGATAAAGATGAAGTGCTGAAACATAGTCCAAAACTGAATATTCATCAAAAAAAGCTAATGGTGTCTGTTTGGTGGTCCAACGCTGGTATTATCCACTATAGTTTCAGAAAACCTGGTCAATCGATTATAGCAGATGTCTGCTACAACCAGTCGGATGAAATGATGAGGATGCTTGCGATTAAGCAGCCGAGATTGGTCAATAGACACAGGCCAATACTCTTGCAAGATAATGCTCGACCCCATGTTGCACAAACAACGCTGCTCAAACTACAGCAGCTGGACTTGGAAACTCTCTGTCATCCACCGTATTCACCAGGCCTTGCACCAACTGACTACCACTTCTTCCAGGCTTTGGACCACTTCTTGCAAGGAAAAATATTCAGTTCTCAACAAGCTGTGGAAAATACCTTTCGCGATTTCATCACCACTCGCTCTCCAGGCTTCTTGTTGCTGGCATAAACACGCTACCGTTAAGATGGCAACACTGTGTCCATAGTTTAGGTGCCATACTTGGATTAATTGTACTGTTTCTTATTTGAGATAAAATAAACTACACTTTTGATTCGAAATTAGACACTTCATATTTAATGACCTAATGGAATGAAACGTAAGTGATTATCTTCATGACCACGAAGTTGGTAGCGGTTTCTTAAATAGGGCACAGAAAAAGTTCTGTGAAAGAAAACATGGATACATTTATACTACATTAAAATTAAGGAGTAGTATCAAAAGACCCCATAAAGAGAGAGAAGAGCTGAGATACTGAGCAAGAAAAGATATTTGTAATAAATGTATCCAACAAAACATTTGTATCTAGGCTATATAAAGAACTCGTATACATTGTATTTTTTAAAGACAAGTTGGTAGAAAAATAGAAGAAAGACGTGAACAGGCATTTTATTAAGAGGATCTCCCGTCGGCCAGTAAGTCAGGCTGAGCATCTGTATAAAATCTGAAATGCTCCAGGATCCGAAACTTTTTGAGCACCGACGTGACGCCACAAGTAGAAAATTCCACACCTGCCCTATGTGATAGGTTGCAGTGGAAACACCGGGACTCAGCACACAGTTTATTCAGTGTCCCCAAGGGAAAAAACTCTCCCAGCCCCGCGTAGCTGCAAGATATCTTTTCTGTGTGTGCCAGATACGTATGTCTTATTTTTTACTGTTAAGGACGTGTGTGTGCATAAGTGTAAGAACATGATAGCTGAGCAGCGTGTAAATTCGGAGTCAGGAATGATGGTGAAGCCAGACAGCCACAGATGGGCCATGTGGGTGGCTTTCCTATAAGTTGCTTTTTTGTCTTTTTGTTTGCTTCCATATATCTTTCATATTAAAGTTTTTCCTCAAATGCTTGATGATTCTTAGATATCCGCACATACTCAAGAGTAGGATATTAAGAAATCGATGAAAAATCTGCACTGGGCTTTGCTGCCGGTGCCCTTAACTTGGGGCAATCTCGCCGGGGAGCCCTGGGCATTGGCCTCGTTTGGCTCCTGGGCCCTTCAGACCCCCCAGAGACCCGCGCAGTCGCTGTGTGGGGGACCACTTTGGCTTCATCTACTCCCCACGTCTTTCATGCAGTCTTTCCCCGTCAGCTCTGCCTCTAAGTTCCTCTCGGACCTTGTTTAAGAACAAGTGTCCAGTTTTCTGCTGGGGTGAGTGTGTTGCTCCTGAAAGGGACCTTCCGCCAGTCCCGCTCTTCCCACTGTCACTTTCCCACGCTCCCAGAGCCACTCAGGACGTCCAGTGCCTGCGCTCCGGGCAGCTCTGCAGGGCGGCAGGGGGTCGCTGGCTTTCCCCAGCTGCCCACGCAACACTCAGTTTTCTTGGGTCTTCTCAGTCGGTTTCCACCTGTCCTGCTTTTGTTGCTGTCATCTCTTTCCCTGTTATTTTTGTCTTTATGATTTAGGCCTTTGGGGGAAAATCTCTCTATTTCAGTGGAGTTTCTGGAAGGAGGGGAGATAAATACGTGAGTTCAACCCACTGTCTTTAACCGGAGGTTTCTTGTTGTTATTGTGGAAACACAAGTGTGTCTGACAGCAGTGAGCGGAGAGCAGCTCTCCGAGGCGGGCCTGGAGAATTGCTTTCCTGTCCTTGTCTCCCTGGGAACCACAAGGCTGGAGCTCACAGCAGGTTTTCGACAGAATTCTTTTCCATCAGGTACGATGGTGAGGATGCCCAGGCACAGTCTGTCAGTGGGGTGACGTGAACGGCAGGGACTTTTAGAAATCAGTGAATTCCACCCTGGGCTCTATATCCACCCCAACTTTGGCTGCTTTCACTGGCTTTTTTCTCTTCAGTGAAACTGCTGTTTGTTTTATCTCTTCTGTTCCAATCTCCACCCCTGTCTTGCAGGACGACGAGAGCCTGAAGCACCTCACCCACGAGGAAAAGGACGTCATCCTGTTTTTTGAAGAGACGATCGATTCCCTGGAGGATGACTTCGAGGAGCCCATCCTGTGCGACAGTGGCAACCGCTGCTACTCCTCCCGTTCTCTGGAAGAGAGCACGTCCAGTCCCTCCGAGCCTGAAGATGTCATCGATTTAGTGCAGCCACCGCCTGCTGCCGGGGAAGCCGAGCATCTTCCAGACGGGCCACAGGCAGCAGGTGAGGAGGAAGCACAGGTGCAGACCTGTGCCCCGGTATGTTGGACTCTGCAAGGCAGAGCCCCTTTCGTGGTGTTCTGGGTTTGCAGTGTAGACGCTGCGGAGGCTTTCCAGAGTTTGATAGGGGAAGAGCATTCTCTTGGTAGTTTGATTGTCCAACGAAGGGGAATGCCAGAAGGACTGGGATAAAGAATGAGACTAATTGGGCATATAAATAGATTTCCTGTGTTCATGTTCATATTATACATGTGGAAGAAAAGATGGAAAACTGGAAATCGCTTCCAGGTAATAATTCTGTTCTACAAAGAAAATATATGAGGTACTTGTATTTGAGTGCAAGATTATGCCCCCAGTTCTGTAGCATGACTTTCCAAAGTGGGCGCACTTGAGCTGAAAAGCCAGCCGATTCAGGAAAACAGAAAAAAATCAGCCTCTGCTTTGTCTGTTTTGCTGGATTCCGAGTGACGTCAAAGTGAGTCCTGGGATGGAACGGGAGGGAAATGGAGAGAAATCCCTCCAGTGTCTCTCCCAGATTGGAAAGGATACTGGAAACAAACATGGCCAAGGGGACGAGATTGGAAAAGATGAGGACGAAACAGAAGGGAAAGCACTTTTCCTCTGGCGACTACAAAATGCTGCCATTGGTCATGAGCCTCTAGAAATGTGTGTATTTTAAGCAAGGCTGTGTACTGCTCAGAACTCCACAGACTTCAGCTGTGGGTTCCGTGGAAATATGGAGCTTGGTTGGCCGCATCTCTTCAAAGCAGAGACCTAATATGAATTTCCCATTTTTATCACACTTCTGCTTTGAAGTATGGTTCCTAAAAGTAACTTCAGCCAGCTGATCCTTTTAAAATGTCAGATCCCTTAATGATGCGGAGGGAAACCCTTTTTGAAAATAAGTTGCCCTCTCCCGTCGAGTCCCTAACATGGTCTCTGCATAACAATTTTAAGTGCCTGCTCTGGCAGGTGTCGTGTGAGATGCTGAAGCTACGAAGACGAAAAGACGTGGCTCTGCGTTTTGGAGCGGGAGACAGGTGTGTACGTGCAGCAAAGTGTCAGGTGGTCTGCGGTTGACATATGTCACGTTAGGAACATAGGATGGGCTCAAAGGCAGGCCTGGTAGATTCCACCCGGGGCTGTCAGGAAACGTTTCTGTGTCACAGGGGAAGTGACACAGCCCTGTGTCCTTCATCAAGGAAGACCTGCTGAAGTTGTCAGTGTGTGCCACATGCTTTCCGGCCTCAGTTTCCCCTTTATGAAATCCCCTGATAAGTTAGTTGCCTTTGACTCCATCACTTCCTGTCACCGGCCTTGCATGACGGACCCTCTGAATCCTGCTTTGGCAGGACGTCTCCTGGCTACTGCCGGTTTCTGACCTGCGGGTCTGTCACCATCACCATCACGGATTGGCTCGTTCTCAGCATGGACTCGTGAGAATAATCTGCTTTCTCCCTGCCTAGTCCAGGGCACGGGGATGGGGTCGTTTCACTTGCAGGGCGCACTGTGGAAGCTGGTGTTGTGTCCCTTTGAGACTCTTTTGAATTCGGGGAAGAGGAACGTCGTGCATTTACTTTTTCACATGAGGTGGTAGCTTACGAGGCTTTTCCCTCCCGCTCCAGGGGCCGGACCTGCTAGGAAGGAGGGCGTTCCTGACCTTGACTGCGGGAGACCAGATGCTGAGGAGGCTCGGGCGCCAGACCCCACAGCTCCAGAGGCCCTAGCTCTGCCCCTGGCCCCGCCTGGCCCCTCCGCTCCAGCCCAGCCCCGGAGGGAGCTGCTCTCCCCTCCGCCCGCAGAGCACCCGAAACTGCCCCGCTCCGTTCCCACCCCCCTGGTCATCGCTCAGAAAATATCTGAGAAGTTGGCAGGGAATGAAGCCCTCTCGCCCACATCCCCCTCGAAGGAGGGCAGGTCTGGGGAGTGGAGGACGCTGACTTCTCCAGCCCCTCGGAATGGCGACCACGTCGTGTGGCACAGACACACGGCGCCCCCTGCGCCCAAGGCCCACCGCTGCTTCCCCAGCAACATCAGCGTGACCAACAGCTCGGGGAAGGACTTCAACAAGACCATCTCCAAGGCGGCCGTCAGCGTGCAGGAGCGGAAAGCCCAGGTCTTGGCCAACATCAATGGTGTCTCTTTCCTCACCTCGGGAGACAGGGAAGATCGGTCACAGAGGAGTGACCTCGCCGAGCAGAGAAGGAGCTTCTCTCCAGAGCAGGTGATGTGTGACCAGGACAAGCCAGGCCTGGTGAAGGAAGCGGAAAGCCCTTGGGTGGCAGGGCAGGCCGGGGGGCGGCAGTCCAGAGCCGTGCAGACGGAGCCATCCCCGGCACTGGCCAACGGCTTCCAGACCATCCACGACGTGCTGAAGAGCGAGCCCAGTCCCTTTGTGCCCACTGGAAAGACCATCACCTTCCGTCCGGACCCGGCCCTCCCCGGCAAGCTCGCACACCAGGGTGCCAGCAGGAGCTGCTATGAGCCCCGGCCCCCAGACTGTGGCCAGGACGCTAGGAGGCGGTCAGGCTCTCTCCCCCGCGCCGGGGGGTTCAGGCCCCAGGGCATCACCGTGCAGTTCTCTGGCCGGGGCTCCTCGGAGGAGGCCCGCCGCGAGGCCCTCAGGAAGCTGGGGCTGCTCAAGGAGAACTCGTGACAGAGCCGCACCTCGAGCCAGCCAGAGCCAGCAGCATGGCAAAGGGGGGAGAAATGAGATATGTTAACATTCACACAGGGCGGGAGCTGTTTGGCCTAAAATGGATGTAAAGAGCAGTCGCCAGGGTCCCTCTGCTGTGCCCCGTTGGGGATAGAGCTGAGAGGCACCAGGCTTGGTGGCCATCAGGCTGAGCGAGGAAGGAGAGAGTACCGACCGGCCCACCCTGACCAGAGAGTCCTTCCCCAAAGAGAATCCGGATCCCTATCTTGTCATCTTCCTTTTTCCAAGAACTCAGAGAGAGAATAACCTTTAAAACTTGGCGTTGCAGTGGCTCTCTGTAATCCTAGCCCTCTGGGAGGCCGAGGCAGGAGGATCACTTGAGGCCAGGAGTTGGAGATCACAGTGAGCTATGATGATGTCACTGCACTCTAGCCAGGGCAACAGAGTGAGACTCTGTCTCAAAAAAATAACAATAAATAAAATAAAATAAAACTTACAGGCTTCCCTGATCTGTAAATGCCACATGGTTTCGGATTTGGGAGGAAGGGGCTGGGGTCTGCGTTGTCATTCTCTAATCCAGCCTTTCATCCTGAGTACGTGATGTGGTGGCCAGTTTAGGTCCCTTATACTCAGGGTCTTCCCCGCCTTTTCTAAGAAAATAAAAAAGAAATGTTTGTTAAATTTTTATAGTGTCTTAACACACTTTTTTGGTTTTTTGTGTTTGAAGGGTATAAAGGAAAGTACTTCAGCCCTAGATATGCTTCTGTTTCTTGATACAATTTGGTTTGCTCTTTTTTTTCATACTGAAAATTGAAATGAAACCTTTAGAGTATGATCTACTATAATTTTGAGTTGTGGGAGCGAAATAGAAGGTTGGGTTTGGGAAAGGTGGTAATTTTGAGAGAGCAAGTCTCAGACTACAAGGTCAGAGTTACTGGGACATGTGCACAAGCCTGTGTTGCATGTATATATGTACATAGTAAATGTCTAGATACATACATGTTAACATTTACACACATAGGTAGTGTGTGTGCACACACACATTCATTATAAATATAAGCTTCTGGAAATCCTCCTGAGCAACTACAGAATGCCAGCACTTCCTATTCTCAGCAAGGTGTTGATGATACAAGAAATTGTTACTCTTCCTAGCTTGGAAAGTCTCTTAAGGACACATCTCCACGATATTTTGTCAAACCAAAAGTGCTTTTTTTCTCAACAGTGTGTTCCCCCCTTCCCAATTAAAGTAATATTCCCTGCTTCCAAATGAGCAAGATAGCTCCTTTTTAAGGGAGGAACATTTTAAAAGATTAATCTCCTTTAATTTATCACCTGATTTTAGTTTTGCATATTCAGGGTAGCCAATAAACAGAAGAAAACAAAAGATTCTTAAAGATCCGTGATTGGCTACATCCCATGTGGAAGATCTTGGGATTAATTTAAGAGGAAAAAAACCAGAGAACTAGGCTACCCAGCAGGGGAAAACACTGGCTTCTCCCAGACTACGTCTGACGTGCTGAATCGTGCCCGCAAGCATTATTATCAAAACTATTTAAGGCTGGAGTCTTAAACCTCTAAAAATAGACAGGAGGGGCTGCCCTGAGAAGCCACACCCTTGTGTTTGTGTTTCAGCCAGCCCCGGGACAGTCTGTTTCTTTCCTGTTGAATATTATTTAAATTCATTCAGACTTTTAAATGTGCTGTGAAGGATGTTTTTCACAGTATTCATTTTGCCTTGTAAGTTACATCAAATGAATGATGATTTTTTCGATAGAACTACATACAGTATTTGGTGTCTCATCCAGCTCTTGTTCTCGTGAATAATAATCGTCTCACAGATTCTTGATGATCCTAATTTAAATAGGTGCTTTGATTTTACAGCTTTTAAAAGTAGTTACTTTTAATTTTACTTCTGTTTATGTTGGATTTGTTTAAATGCTTCATGAGGGCTGTGTTTCCTTTTTACAAAGTGAGATGCCGTACAGTGTTTAATGAAGGTTTCGATGTGACTAATGTTTTAAATATTCTTTATAGGTGAGGATTGTTTCTTTTTATCTTATGATTTCATTGTGAGGAGGGTGAACTTGGCTGCATATTAGTATATTTGTTCTCATAATCACATTTCTGAAAAATAAATTGCGAGTTTTATCTTCAGCATAAGCAACTTTTTTTGGCATTATGTACTGTATTTGCAATTACTGTCTTTTAAATTGTTATAGCCTTTCTATTTATTCATAATTTCACCTATTTATTCATAATGATACTGTTACTCTAGTCATTCCTTGCACCCAAAACCCTAGTAATTAAAGCCATATGTTTTGTATGAAGTTCAGATTATAGCTGCTGATGAACTAACCTGTATGTGTATGTACCATGTTAACAACAAATCCAGTTTGCTGGAGGGCATTAGTTTCCTTGCCATAACTAAGTGATGTGATGTTCTTAGAGGCCATCTGGTTCAAGGTCATTTGAAGAACGATACATGTTTCAAAGCAAAATTGGAATGAAAAGGAAGGATGAATCCTAAGTGTCCAGGTTTTTCTTTTTTTCAAGTGATACTTGTAAATCCATCTCCATTTTTATGAAACTCTTAATACTTAAATCCCCCCCAAAAATACTGTCCTTTGCTTTTAGGAAGGTGTGTCCAGATGGCCAAAGCAGAGCCTCCTCTGCAAATGGTGATACTGTGCAGTCGCCAGCGCGACAGTATTTGCTGCGAGTCTCTCCGCCGCCTCATCTCCTGGTTACGTGGCACCTAGCGCATGTACTCATAGTCACAGAATTGGCAGTTTTGACCTTCGCTCCCCCTCCTGTGAGGCTGGGTGAGGAGAAGAGCCATGGGAAAGGTGCAGTGACACCTCTGGGATGCTGCCCCTCTTGTGAGGGCCATAATATCATAAGAGAGCCCCTGGCTTTCTGCATCCCCACCGCACTTGGAGCCATTGAGGATGGCTCCAAGCACAGGCTCAGAGTGCAGGGCCCAGGGCGCCTTCCTGGCCTCCACAAGCCGACTTCGGGCCATGCAGCACCCTTCCCTTGGTTCCTGGTAGGTGTAGCTCCCACTGTAGGACGCCCAATGGAAATGGGCATCTTCCTTGGAGTTAATAAGTGAGGCCTTAGGAACCCTCAGGCTTGACCTTGTTATTTAAAAAATAAATCAGAAATGCATTTTCTTTGAATTCCCACGACTCCAGCTATGAGGATGCCGACCTTTCAAAGGATTTGGTGGTGACTCCTTCTATAGAGGTGATCTAAGAAATCAGTTCCTTAATGTTCAATAAAGAGGAAGGGAGAGAGAGAAATAAGGTGCAGAGGACAACAATTTGCTTTTATACACAAACAGGTGACTGCTGTGCTGATGTTTTCCTGGTGGCTTCGCGCAGAATGGAGGCATTGTTCCTCTGTGTGTGTTTTATCGCTGTGACTCGGCAAGATTAATAAACCTTTTCCCCCCTTAAACTGCTCCCTTGGGTTCTTAAACTTTCGTCATCACATAATGGTGTTCTCTGAATGAGCCTTGTTTTTCTGTGTTTCTTCTTGTTCCGGCCTGTGGTCCCCTCCAGGGTGGGAGGAGGAAGGGGAGGAGTCAGGTGTGTTCACCTGCCAGAGAGGTTCATGTTTTCATTGAAATGACAAGTTACCAAACAGGTTTCGTGTCTTCTCTTCACAACAAGGCTTTTTGCCCCTGCTTTAAAGTATGGGGAACCAGTTCCTATATCCCTTTCTAATCTTCTAGTTGGACAAGCCCTACTTTCAAACATCTGAGAGAAGAGAAGCTATAAGCCGCAGCGTCCCAGGGAGACTGGAACTCTCTGGCATTGAATTTGAAACAGGCACGGCTGGGAACCAGGGTCACCGCCTTCTGCCAGCCCTGTGGGGGGGGGGGTCTAGTAGTGTCTGCAGGAGAAGAGGCCCAAGGCCATGTCCCACCCAGGCTTTGTAGCACAGGACCAGTCAGCCTTTGTGTATGACAGGCAAAGGCCTTCTGGAAAAAAGGAATAGCAAAGCTCTGGCCTCCGCGTTCCAAATTCACAAGACTTGAGAAATGCCAGTCCTCCGGTTAAGCAGGCTCACCTCCATCTTTATTGTCCTGGGGGTAGGGTGACAACCCTGGGATTGAGGAAGGATTTCTTTCAGGGTTTTCATCTGAACTGGGGGGACTTCCCAGTTCACAGCCAGCTAAAAGGGGAGGACATCATGACCTCCAGTAATGATCTAAAAAACCTCTGTGGCAAACTCGGCATTCTCCAGCCTGGAGAGGAGGGGACACAGCGCCAAGCTTTGCCATCTGCCTCCTGGGTTCCTTCCCAATCCCACACTTGTGCTGCAGGTCCCCTCCCAGCCCTGTCTGCTCTGGGGCATGCTAGGATCTAGAGCAGGCCAGGCCGGGAGGGGTCCTCACCTGTGTCACTAGGTGGGTTGGATGCAGGTTTCCTGATTCCCAAGGCTGCTGTGAAACCCTCAACGCCAGCTGCCCCCCCTCACTCCTGGGCCTCCAGAGGGTTTGGAAGGTGAGACCCACTCCAGCTGCGCGGGGCCGCGCCCCTGGCTGCTACCAGGCACGTGAGCCCACTCCCAGCCCCTGCCTGTGGTCAGTCAAGCCAGTCGCCGTGACCGTCCCTGCCCCCCATCCCGCGGCAGGTAAGAATTCACATTTGGAAGCTGAGGCTAATGGAACTCAGTTGTTGATAAATAGGTCACACTTCATAAACTTTAACCTCAGAGTATTTGTGTATGAAACAATGCTGCCGACCTGCGTTCTGGAAATACCTTTCAGGGGTGGGGCTGAGGGAACCAGGAAGCCATGTGCCATGCTGCCTGCTCTCACTTTAGGGGGCCTGTCTGATTTCGGGCCTTGGCTGGTTTTCCAACATCCCAGTCAATCCTGTGAGCTTGCACAACGTGGATGAGACCAGGCCTGCGGGATATGACAACGTTCATTCATTTGTCCTGCAAATCTTCGTGTCTTTCCTGTGTGCCAGACCCTGAGGGGCGCTAGATGGTGTCTCCTTTCTTCGTTACAGCCACGTGTAGGTGGGGCTGTCACGGCCACCAGCTGATGGGATTGTGGAAGTCTTGCTCTCTTTCCCGGGGCTCCCTGGGGGCTGCAGCCGCCCTGCCCGAGTGGCCTGGGCTGCACACTCCTGCTCCCACGTGGACGAAGAGCATCTCCTGCTGTCTTGTTTCCCTTCTGCAGTGCTTTCCTCACCTCCCAGAGTCACTTCCTGTGCTGTCCTGCCCCCTTCTCCCCAAGGCTCTGCCCTGCTCTGTACTTAGGTTTCAGCTAAGAGGGACGGGTGTCCATGGGGGTAGGAACGAAAGGCAGCCGGACATCGGGTCAGGCCTGGGCCTGC